AGAGCGGCTGGGCTAGCCCCTCCGCCAGCTCTCTCAGCACCCTCGGGTGGATCCCATCCGGCCCCATAGACTTGTGAACATCCAGGTGGTGTAGCAGGTCATTGACCGCTTCCTCTTGGATTATGGGGGGTTCATCCTGCTCGCCATTCCTGTCTTCCAGCTCAGGGGGCTGAGTACCCTGAGGATAACTAGTCTGCCTGTTAAAGACTGAGCAAAGAAGGCATTAAGTACCTCAGCCTTTTCCTCATCCTCGGTGACAATGTTCCCCCCCGCATCCAGTAAAAGATGGAGATTCTCCTTGGCTCTCTTCTTGTCATTAATATATTTGTAAAAACTTTTGGAGCTTTATCTCCTCTGGAGGCTTCTGGAGCTTTCTCTTGGGGCATTGTCTGTGCTCATAGCACGGTCGCTTGGGCCTCGTCCTTTACAGCCCCTTTAAGAAATAGGTAGATACCAATATTAATGGCAGTTGAGACAGTTGATACACAGGGAAAAACTTGTCATAGTTGATTATTTCTTACCAGTTAGTTCTTTCTTATAAACATGAGCGCTTTCATACTCACTATTTACAGTGATGCTCAACTGCATTAGTGAGATACCACTGATGAGATAACCGAATCGGTGCAGAAGACTTCAGCTGAGTTGTTAACTGTGCAGTAACAACTTTTATTTTTCTAGGACTACTCCTCAGATATTAAACAAGTACTTTTTTACTAGTTACGCCTTCTCATGATTGTGCTATACCTCCATTTAGTATTTTGTTATTCTCTGATATAGAAGATAGGAACATTTTTAAAACTGAGAATTTACTCTAAATGTTACAATTGCAATACTTAAGCTAGATATATTAATTTGGCTTTACTGAGAGTGTTACTGTAAAGTTCCTGAAAATAGGTAACATTTTGCTGTTTAATTTGGTGTATCTTATGTAGACATGGAAACTTTTAATGAAAGTTTTCCTTTTTTTGAGTTAAGCTTCCATTTGAATACATTCTTGTCGCTAAAAGGCATTTTTTCTTTTTAGACTCCACAAATGGTTGCTAGATTTCTTTTTTTTTTTTAAAGACCAGAAAAATCAAGGTTCCTCGTGTGAATCGGTTGTAAACTTTTATAACAATGACATTGACCTAGTGGTTATTTTGACAGTGTTTTAATGAGACAAAAGTTTACAGTTGTCAGTTACTTGGCATACTTGCCTTGATTATCTGCTTGATGTATGTAGGCTTGCTTTGTGGCAGTTCAATTTGACACTAACAACTGACCTTTTCAATTCTGAATTGACTAACATTTCTGTTATTTGAAGGCTGAATATATAAAAAGCCTCAGTATGATGTTTTTTGTATTTTAGTGAGAGCTCCATGTATCTGCTTTTTTGCATTTGTTGAAAGCAAAGAATATTATCCCTTTTATCTTTCATAAAATCTAAAATTATGGAAAGCATACTTAAATGTTTTTGGTTCAAGACAAGATCGGTGATCGTAGTTTGAGAATATAAGTACAACCAGGAGTAATATTGAGCTTCTGGTTTTGTTAAAGTAAATGTAGTTTAACACCTTAAGCCTGTGTTCAAGAAAATGTATGTGAGGCAATGTGGTTCCTTTGTATATTTATGACGACAACTGAAAAAGTCTATTACTTTGGTTGTTGAATTCACGGAGGCAGGAAATACAGCTCTTCTGACACAACCCATTTTTATGTATCTAAGACAATGATTGCAACAACAACAAATTGTGTGTTGCCCAGTTCTTCTCATTCTTCTTGTAGAATCAAATGAATGCTTCTACTCTCTAATCATCATCTTTCATCACTGTTCCTCAAGCAGGCAGTTTAACTAATGGAAGAGTGCTGTTGTTCTTCTGTACAGTTCTAGTTGCAGATACCAGCACCTTCTAATTTTCCAGTTAGAACCAAAAAGAGGTGCAAAGTTGAAGCAAAGGTGCAATTCTTCCTTTTCCAGTTCTGTGCTCATTTTTCAGGAACTTACCATCCCTGTGGAAAACCTGCAGGTGCTTTTTGCCTGTCCTAGGAGAAGTGTTTTTGTGACGAAGTAAAAGGTCTTATCTATTCATGAGTAGCATTACCCTCTCAGTATTTTTAGTTGTCAGGGAATACCATTTAATCTTTCTTTTTCATCTAATAATATGAGAATGTGAGATGGAACGGTCTGTGATATTTTGGTTA